TGGGTTGTGGAATCTGGCAAATCCAGGCTCAGAGCCACGTGCCTCCAACACCTGAGGCTGTGTTCTCGTGGAGAGCCACCTACCACCTTCCTGACCCACTTTTCAATTTCCTCACAGCTATGACAACACCTATCCCTGCTTTCCTGGGCCTGTGGGAAAACTGAGCTTCCTCGTGGAAGATGCTCTGAGCTTGGTGGCTTCAAGGCCACAGCACAGCCAGTCAGCCTGGCGTAGCCTTAGGGAGGCCCAGATGAAATCGTTGCTTTACAGTCCTTTCTGATCTACCGGCGGTTTCTTGCATTGAACATGGTGGTAGCACCTGTCTCATTGCTGGTCTACACTGCAAGGTTTGGCTTATAGCCCTGTGTATCCATCAGCCTCTCCTAGTCCCATCCAGGGTCATCCACTGTTGGTGGAAGGGGCCTCTGTGGCTGCTCAGCCTGCTGCTTGCTCTGAGTTGAGAGAAACTTTTGTTCAACAGTGAACAGTCTTTTAGGAGCAGACTAAAGTCCAGCATCCGAGTTTGGTGTGTGTGGATTAGGGTGGAGGGGTGTGTGTAGGCCAGAGGTCAGCCTTGGCTGTTATTCCCCAGGGTCTCTCACTCTTTGGGAAACTCATCCTTGTGCGAGGCTTGGCTGCCCAGGAACTCCCAGGGATCGGCCTGCCCCTGCCTTCCCAGGGCTTTTTACTTGGTGTAGAACTCAGGTCCTCATGCTTTCAAGACAAGTGTTTTCCTGACTGAGTCATCTCCGCAGCTTCAAGAATCTAGATTTTTGCCTCTCTTCCCATTGCATCAGCTGCTGGAAGCAACTGCCACCATTTGGAGGCAGAGCTGTGCCAAGGTGCCCCAGAGGACCCTCAAGAGGCAGAGGATGGGGTTTGAAAGTGACCTTGAACTCAGCTCATCCACTTAAGCATTAGTGACCATAGTACTGATGTCTACCACGTGGGGAGTGGTATCAGGAGGATTAAATAGTGAATAAATATTTGTAAGTTTTAAAATTTGTAAATACTATTGACAAGAATTTCTGGAATGTGCTGACTCTTAGAGAGCACAAGGCATTTTTAAGGACCCTCTGGATATTTGATATTACTATCATTATCATTATGAGAGATGTGGGGGTTGGGAAATTGTTAGTGGGTGTTTGAGTTTGGCCTGAGGGGGTGGATGAAACACTTCCTGCTGACCTTGAAGTCCTTTCTCCCCCCACCTACCCACTCCTGGGCTCTGTCTTGTCTCTAATACACAGGGGGTGACTACTTAGAAGGATTCTCGGGATTAGTAGGTTGATACTGCTACTACAACAGATCCTACTGCTCTGCTGCCTCCATTCCATCGTCTTCCCAAAACAGACATCACTCTGAGCTTGCAGAGGGCAGGGCATCTGTGGATTAAGTGAAGTGATCACTGTCAAATGCTCAGCCAGACCCTGGCTTTGGCAAGCAAACTATAGATATTGGGAATAATATTGTCCTTTTCATCCCTGATCAAATACCCACTCCATCATAACAGGCTTCTTGGCTTGTTTCTCTGGTCCATACCAGGTTCCCAGAATACCACATGACCCTGTGATGGGAATGACTGCATTTGCTCCATCTTTAAGGAGGCCAGAGACTAAAGGAGGAATCTAGAAAACAGCTATAGAAGCTATGGAAACCAGGACCCAGCTTCCCACGTAACCAGCTTCCCACTGACGAGGCCTATCTTAGTTTGCTTTCTGTTGTTGCAACAAACGCCACAACCAAAGACAGCCCAGGGAGGAAAGGGTTTATTCAGTTTACACTTCCCCATCAGAATCCATCACAGAGAGAAGCCAAAACAGGAGCTCGGGGCAGGAACCAAAGCAGAGGCCTTGGAGAAGCACCGCTTACTGGCTTGCCTCCATGTCTTGCTCAGCCTGATTTCTTAGACAACTCAGGCCACCTGTCCAGGAGTGGAACCCCTATCGAAGGCCAAGCCCTTCCACATCCAACACACTGATCAAGAAAATGCCTCCATAGACATGCCCACAGGTCAATGTGATAAGGGAAATTCCTCAGCTGAGGTCACTCTAGTTTGTGTCAAGTTGACAAAAACTGGCCAGCACATGCTCTGATTATACCACTTCTGCTGTCCAGTCTGTAGAAGACACCACCACCACTTTGACCACTATTGCTTATTTTATCCAAACCTTCATCCAGTCTCTCATGGAGAGCGGCAGCAGGCTCATCTACTTTCAAGAACTTCCTTATAACTGATTAGATTGGATATATTACCTGCTTAAAAAAAAAAAAAAATCCCAGAAACCTTCCGCTTGCCTACAGGCTAAAGTCTTAACTCTTGTAGCCAATAAGGCCATTGTTAATCACTGTGGAACACAACCCAAACTGCACTGAAGTGTCCCCACATAGCCACTAGGATGGCTAGAATTGGAAAGACATAACAAGTACTGGTGACAGTGTGGGGGATTGGGACTCCCTCCATACCCACGGAAAAGATGGATGTGGTAATATTGGTGTGTATAAGATTCAGAAGCAGATCAGTGGGAGAGTGCTCTCACAGAACGCTGAAGCCTATATCTGATCCCCAGAACTGTCAAGCATTGCACAAGCCAGATGTGGATGAACATGCCTGCAATCCTAGTGTTTGGGCTGTGGAGGCATGAGTTTGCAGTCATTCCTGGCCACGTACTGAGTTTCAGACTAGCCTAGGCTGCAGCCTGGGCTACGTGTAAGAGACCCTCACTCAAAACAATTAATAAGTAAATGAATACATAATGACGTTCTGACGCATGCCCCAACGTGAATGAATCTGAGAAATAACATGTTAAGAGGAAGAAGCCAGACACAGGGACCATGTACTTTTATAAAACGTACATAACATGCAAAGCCAAAGAAGAAGAGTAGACTGGTGATCTCCTGGGGCTGGGGTTGGGGTAGAGCAGAGTGACTGCTGGCAGTTACAGAGTTTGATGCAGGGGTGGGGAGGGAGAATGGAAACAATCTAGACTTAGGCAGTGGTGTTGTCTGCACAGCCTTAGGATGATCCTTTGAAATCACCGAATGGCTCTTTGGGAAGCTGAATTGCAAATTAAGAGATATTATGCATTCCTCTTGAAAATGGAGAGTAGTCCATCTCTGTGGGATGGACCATCCAGGAGATGTAGTCACTAGTTGTGGCCAGAGGCCTCCATCCTTCTCCCAGACCCCACTTCTCGTCTCTCTAAACCATGAGCCACTAGCTCTTGCCACATCACCGTGATAACCCCATTTGCCCTCTCTTAGGGTTTGTTCCCCACTCCTGCTGTGGCTCTAGAGTCATATCCCCATCTCTTTGAACCTCTAGGACTAGTTCACAGTCCTTTTCTGGTTCCTTCTGACGACTCCTCAGGCTCCCCTTCCCCTCTCAAGCTTCTCCGTGGATGCCCTTGGCAAACCTCCCACACTGTATACCGAAGGCCAGCTCGCTGGAATGGAGAAAGTTTTGGCCTCAGGGACATCCCAAAATCAACATTTAAATCTGATTATATGGCTACTGCAGAATTTTTATTCAAGAGCAGCTTTTCAGTCCTTTATCAAGGTTCTAAGTTTCAAAGGCATCTTTTTCCTTTTTCTTTTCTTCCTTTTAATTGTATTCAACTCTTTCCTATTAAATTTTATAATAGTTGCATCCATGGAGGGAGATTATAGTCTGCAGGTCCAGATTTTGTATTGTGTAGTCTTCGGTTTTCTGTTTTATCATTGTTGTTTTGAGATTGTCTCCATGTAGCCCAGGCTGGCTTTGAATTCCAAACACTCTTCCTGCCTCAGCTTCTCATGTGCCAAACTGCAGCCATGAGCCACCAAACCTTCAAGTCTTCATCTTAAAGCAAAGATTTGTTTTCACACACTGAACATTTTTTCCTTAGCTGGCATCTGCCCTTCTAAATTGTATTCTGCTGCATTGTCCCGGTAACATTCCTTGTGACTTGAACAATAGGATGGTAGACTATACCTCTCACAAAGGGTTAAAAACAAGCTTTAAGTGAATGATACATTTCATAATATATCATATATTAACCCAGGGCTTAAACACATGGGTAAGACTTCATAGGGAGCTGGTGGTTCCCTTGGCAGCAATTTGGTTGGGGTTTCTGAAGTCATCACCCTCAACTGGAGGGAAAGCAGTCAATGGGACAGAGAGAAAAGGGTAGGGGAACTGAAATTCAGTCTCAGAGTTGGCTCAACAGGCTCTGAGGGTCTCATTCCAAGCCGGAACACGGGTCCATCTATTTTTATGTTCTGTGCAGGTAGATCACCAAATCCAGCTTCTGTTAAGAATAACCTTTGGCAACTGGTCTCTCAGCACCCAAGGGTGGTTATTCTTGTCGTTCTGCCAACCTCTTCATCAACCATAGTTACCAAGTTGTCCCCTGCCTTCCCTGTTCTTCTCAACAAACATTTATTATTATTGTTCATTTTCTCACACCTCTAGGACTCCTCTCAGCCCCATTAGTAGGTTGAGCTTATCTCTCCAGATCCACAGCCCACCCCCTGCCTGCCTTGGGGCGGCACCCACATAGCAAGGGCAGCTGGTTTATCAGCCACAGGCAGCTGGAGCAGCAGAGCCTGGGGAATGGAGGCATTTTTTTCTCTGGAACAGCTTTCTAGGGCTCTGGAGTTATAAAAAGGCTCCCATGTGTCATTCCCTGGCAGTTGGACAGCTGCAGAGCGCCACTCAGCAGGCTCCTCTACTCAGGTTTAGCAGCTGATGGTTCCACAAATCTGTTGTGAGGGGAACGGTTGACTTATGGCAAGAATCTAGTACACACTTTTCTATTCTTAGATGGGGTGCTGGCAATGCCACAGCACAACTGGCAAATGGGGGTTGGGGATATGAGAAAGGACACAGAACCTTCACAGAACAGGCCACCCAGACAGGACTCCGTGTGCCTTTCGGATGAGTGCCACCTGTAATGGATGACCCTGGCCCTTCGCACAGGTATGACAGACAGCATGTGTTCTCTTTCTGCCCAGATCTCAGGCCCATGGCGACCTGCCCCGTCCTGCAGAAGGAGACCCTGTTCCAAACAGGAGTCTACACTTACAGAATCCCTGCTCTGCTCTACCTGAAGAAGCAGAAAACCTTACTGGCCTTCGCGGAAAAGCGAGTGAGCAAGAAGGATGAGCATGCAGAGTTGATCGTCCTTCGAAAAGGAAGCTACGACGCAGCCACACACCAGGTCCAGGTGAGGCAGGATCCAGCTGCAGTGGCTCCAGCTGGGATGACTGGACACACGCCCATGGGGGCCCCGTGAGGTGAAGCCAGGTGTAGAGCTCACAGAACACGGGCTCAAGTCCATCTCTTGGTGACTGAGATGTAGATGGAATCTAGCGAACCTGGGAGAGACCTAGAAACCCATCTAGGGACAGGGTGGCAAAGGGTTCCAGTGCCCAACCCGGACGTCACTTGGATTCGGCACGTATTTCAGCACATGACTGGCTGAGTTTCCCAGCGTCCTTGAAAGCCCAACAAAGGAACACTTCATTGTCATTTAACAGGGGTGGTACCTTTTGAGGGAAGTTAATCTGGAGGCTTGGGATTAGATGATTGTGCACGTCATAACATCAGTCTTATCACAGCTACATGGTGGTTATCCGAAGTATGGCATTAAAGTTTCCTTTGACTGGCACCTAATTATTATACAGCATAGCACTGAAGCAAAGGGACATGAATTCAAGTCCTGGGTCCATTCTTTATCCAAGGGATGATCTTAGGCAACTAGGCCTCTCACTTTTGAAGTATGAAATGGAGCTAATGACACTTCTTCAGTATTTGGAGATTAAGCAACACAGTGGGCATCATTTGTCTTTTATGTGACTTTTGTGTCTTTTGGGGGAGCCGATGAGGAATAGCGATAGATATTGTGGCTATACAGATGTAGCAATGGCAGCAGGGAAGCTGAGTTTGACTCTTCAGTATTTCTGAGTCCATCAGGACAGTATCAGAAATAAGTGATTCAGGGTGACCCTCATTTTCTGTCTTGCATCAACCAACCTGTTGTGGTCTTTGCCTTTAAGAATGCTGGACCAGCCATCTTCCTGCTGGCTGGTGTTAGGATGGTGAGCGATGGTGTTAGGCATGGTTCCTATCATTACTCACTTTTTTTTTTTACTTGCTCATGTGTATGTGCATGCCCTTGAGTGAGCTGGTATCCTTATTCCATCATGTTGGCCCTGGGGACTGAACTCAAGTTTTCAGGCTTGGTGGCACATGCCTCTCTTGCTGAACCAGCTGCTGCCTCCAGACTTTTGTGTCTCGGGGGTCCAGCACATCATGGGTGCTTTGCAAAATCCGTTAATGGGAATCAAAGTAATGGAGACGTCAGGGAGGGAAATGGAGAAGGAGAAGGGAGGGGTGGGGCGGGGGTGAGCAATTGGTGGGTGAAGTAGTGCCTTCGTGGCCTTTGACTCTATCCCTAAGATACATCTGCCCGGGAGTAGCTCCTGCCATTGCCAGCAGCATTTTCAAGTTTGTGTTTCTCCTTCTCCCCTCTCCTCACACACAGTGGGAAGCTGAGGAGGTGGTGACGCAAGCCCAGCTGGAGGGCCACCGCTCCATGAACCCATGCCCCTTGTATGACAAGCAAACAAGGACCATCTTCCTTTTCTTCATTGCCGTTCCCGGGCAGGTATCAGAGCACCACCAGCTCCACACCAGGGTTAATGTCACCCGGCTATGCCATGTCACCAGCACTGACCATGGGAGGACCTGGAGCCCCGTCCAGGACCTCACAGAGACCACCATCGGCACCACCCACCAGGACTGGGCCACATTTGCTGTGGGTCCTGGGCACTGCCTGCAGATGCGAAACTCAGCTGGGAGTCTGCTGGTACCTGCTTACGCCTACCGGAAACTGCACCCTTTCCAGGCACCGGCCCCCTCTGCCTTCTGCTTCATCAGCCATGACCATGGGCACACATGGGAGCTAGGCAACTTTGTATCCGAAAACTCACTGGAGTGCCAGGTGGCTGAAGTTAGCACTGGAGATCAGAGTATGGTGTATCTCAATGCTAGGAGCTTCCTGAGAGCCAGGGTCCAGGCACAAAGTCCTAACAATGGCCTGGATTTCCAGGACAACCAGGTAGTGGGGAAGCTTGTAGAACCTCCCAGAGGTTGCCATGGAAGTGTGATTGCTTTTCCCAACCCCACCTCGCAGCCAGATGCCTTAGATGTGTGGCTGCTCTACACTCACCCTACGGACTCCGAGCAGAGGACCAACCTGGGTGTGTACCTCAACCAGAGGCCACTAGATGCCAAGGCCTGGTCAGAGCCCACCCTGCTGGACACAGGTACCTGTGCCTACTCAGACCTGCAGAACATGGGGCACGGCCCTGATGGCTCCCCACAATTTGGGTGTCTGTATGAATCAGATAACTATGAAGAGATCGTTTTCCTCACATTCACCCTGAAGCAAGCTTTCCCAGAGGTACTTGGTGCCCAGTGAGCTCATTGCTTGTGGCCCAAATGGCTTCCTTGTACCTCAGAACACCCAACTCTCATTCCCTCCAGCATCCCCTGGACTTTTGGGTCTGGCTCTTGGGTCCCTTCCTCAGGAGTATGCAAAGAGCTTGGTCTCTTGACTCTGAAAACTTTGTAGTTCCAGCCTCTGCAGTGGGTTCTATCTCCAGCCCAGAAAGCAAAGAAGCCTGGCTTTCCCCAGCCTGTTGACAGAGAAGATGAGGATAGGATATACAGAGGCTGTCATTCTGCACGTCAGCTGTCACTACACTAGCTTAGCCTGCCTGCTTCCCCACTCCTAGTTTTCAGGTGAATGTTAATAAATTACCCAACCTGTGTGTGTATGTGTGTGTGTGTGTGTGTGTGTGTGTCCCCTTGCCAATGCTTTAGAGTAAACAGCATGAGAACACTTTGTTGAACCAGCTAAATCATCACATTAAGTTCCAAGGAATGTTCTAACAAACTACCTCCAGCTCGGAGGTGGGAAACATTTCCGCAAACCTCAAGCTTGCAGGCCATATTCTCTGGGTGCCCCCAGAACAAGGTCCCTTCTTGCCTCCTCCACATTCTGGTGGCTTCAGCAGCTCCTGCCATTCTTCACAGCTCATGGCTGCATCCCTACATCCTTGGACTCTGTCTTCACATGGCTGTCTCCTCCTGTGTTCTCCCCTCTGTCATTCAAGACACACGCTGCTGGGTTTAGAGTCCACCAGATGACCCAGAATGGGCTCATTCCCATTGCCCTTCATGACACCCACAAAGATTATTTTTCTACATCAAGTTACATTCACAGAGGCTGGGCATTAGTTGTGTCTTGGGGGCCCTCACTCCAGCCTCTGAAGACAGACTAAACGTGGTTTTTCCATGCAGGTGATATGGCTGGAGGTAGGAAGGTGGTTCTGATGGATTGGCAAGTTTGGAAGGATCAGGGGCAGGCAGGGGGTGGGGCCTTTGGATGCATATTAGAAGTGTAAGAGACTGTTTTGGGGTGCTCAAGGTTGTGGTGACAGCCGTGTGGCAGCAGAGGAAGGGCTTAGGAACGCTAGGCTAGTGCAGTTCTTAGCACAGATAGCAGAGAAAAATCCCTCCCAGACTGTCTCGAGGGCTGACCAATGGAGGAGATGGACCTCTCTCTGGTCCCCTAGGACTGTTAGAGGCCTCTGTGCCCTTTGTATTAGGAGCCTCATGTCCTATGGAAAAGTTGCCCCTGGCCTTACTAGACCCTCTTTCATCATCCCAGCAACGCCAGTCACAAGTTCTTGCAACTGAGTGGCATTTCTGTCTGGACAAGTATGGAAGCCAGAGTGTGTGTTTTGTTGGAGGACACTGAATGGACAACTAGCATGTTACATGACAGTCGAGGAATGAGTCGCTACTCCACACTGTGGCCACGTGGGTAACTTTTACACAGCGCACTGAGGGAAGGAAGCCACCACAGCGCATCCTTGACAAGAGAACACAGATGTTACTATTCCCGCGAAGGGGGCAGACAAAGAAACAAATCTATAATATGACAAGTAAGATACTGGCTACTTCTGATAGGGGCACTATGGCCTGGAAGAGAGGAAGAGGGAGAATTCTGGATGCCTGAAGTAGTTGCCTCTTCACCTGTAGCTGGTTAGGCGGTCAATTCCAGAGCTGAATTCCGTGATCTGTGCGAATCTAGCTGCATGGCTGAATACATATACATTGTGTCCTAATGAAAAAAGAAGTTAAAGTGAACAACACAAACACAAGAGTGACATATTATACTGAATTTTAAAACTCTGGAATGAAATCTGATTATTTTTTTATTTTGGAAGAATTTTAAATTTACAGAAAAACTGCAAAGACGGAACAGAGCATTGTCATGTAGAGCACTCCGTTTCCCTCAGGTTGAAGTCTTAGGGAGAGCAGCACGTTTGTCAGCTGCGACAGTTGCACTGGCGTGAGGCCAGTAACTAGACCCTGGACTTCATTCTGATTCCACCAGTTTTCCCCTGGGCATTATTTTTGCTAGCTCTGGTATCCAAATTAGGATGTGTTCAGCATGTTTAGAGATGGAGTTTTTACTCTAACAGGTTCGTGTTCTTAGAGACGCATACACACACAGGTCAGGCCATGTCCTCCCACATTCTCATTAGTTAAGAATGAGCAAATGCAAAGCATGCGTGCTTCCAGCTTGGAATGCGGATGTGAAAACGTCCGAAGTAGGTTGGCCTATGGAGTGCAAGAAAGTTGCCCCCAAATCAATGGCACTGGCGCTGCAGTCTGGGTACATTGTTGGAGGAAAGCTGGCTGGCCAATAGAATACTACTTCCTGGTGTGTGTGTGTGTGAGAGAGAGAGAGAGAGAGAGAGGCACACACATAAGAAGTACGTGTTCATCTCCTGGTCCAAGCTTGAGACTGGCAGCCCAGGATGGTCCAAGAGTCTGTCTGGTAACCTGGCAACCAGGATGCAATTCAGCAGGAACCAACACAAGCACATTGGCACAGACCAATGAGAAGCAGAGCGCCAGGTTCAGGGCCTCCATGATCCTGGCTCTTGACCATCTCAATTCTGAGCAGCCACCGCTGAGAAGGCCCCTCTCTTAGACGCCATCTTCAATATTACCCTCTGGTGTAGCTTCCAGCTAGGGTAAAAGCCACTGAGAGAGGCTTTGTGAGCTGAAGAGCGGATTGTCAGCTGGAGCATCTGCCCTGGGGAAGGGAGGTAGGCACTGACGGGGTATCCATCATGCCTGCTGTGCACTTCTAGGCCTTAGAAGTATGCCCCCCCCCCCGAAAGTAAGACACCACACCACCTATGAAGACAGAGAAGTGTCGGAGTGGAGTGCTAGGATTGGAAAGGCAAGGAGGACCCCGCCCAAAGCCTCAGGGGAGCCTGGCTCTGCAGACACCTGGACACCAGCAAAGAGAACTGACTTTAGACTTCAGCCTTCAAAACTGCAAGGGGAAAAAAATTGCCACTTTCTAGAGGTTTACCAGGTGTGTGAAGGCTGTGGTAACTGCACGGACATGAAGTCATGACTCAGTGAAATTGGTTCAGACAGGAAATGAAAAGATTGTATTTTGTATTTTGTATTTTGTATTTTGGTGACATGTATCTTAGTCATGTCGGGTTCTGCTTTCTCACCCGAAAGTTTTGATTGGTCCAAAGCCACATACATGCAGCCACAGGTGCATGCATGCACACGTGTATATACACATGGACATAGAGCCATGCATGGACATGGACATAGAGCCATGCATG